TACGTCTCAAAGTTCGCAGTTTGATTCCCTAACTCGCCATGGTATTGGCTACTCTGCAAAGTACTATCCAATTTGCCAGCGAACTTTGCAACGTGGTGCAGTAAGGTCATGTGAAATCAACTGTAATTACACTTACACATGTCCATATCGCATTTGCTATGAAACTTGAGAAATTACTTATCAATCACAGCTTTGTGTCAACAAACATATGTCTGCCAAGCATTATATCAAACACTGAAGACCACAAAAATGAAATCTGGAAAACTGTCAAGCTAACAAGTTTCAAAAGGACCAATTGCCATCCTTTTCAACTTTCTTTAAGTCTGTCCATCTGTTCCTCATTTTTACACTAACAAAAATCTTTATTTGTACTCACTCTTGCTCTTTGCTTTGTTACTTAAAACTTCTTTTCATGTTTTGAGCAGTATTTTTATGTTTCACTGAGATTGGTGGTGGTTTCCACTGCTGTAGTTTTGACAAATTTCGTGACACTGCTCCTTTAAGTTGCTAAGTACTAGTAGTTATTGATCAGTGGTTAAAGAAACTTAGATTTGGTGTCAGGGCAGCTTACCTCGTCGTGCTATCTGTATTCTCCATCACAATATACAGTCTTGGATATCCTTGGCACAATCAAACACTCCAACTTTCAAATTATTCTTGGCCATCACGAGGTTTTTCTCTCACATCCTGCCAGTGTCAGAAAAGGGTCGCTTTACGAGGGAAGCGATCGACTACTGAAGGCCGATGGGTCGACAAATATACATAACAACCCTTAGATGTCTTGTGGTGCAATCGGAAAGCAAAAATATACTGACTCTACGCTCCTAGAACCTACAGAAGCTGGCAAATTTGAAGCCGTTGCAATCACTTTCAAAATGGACGCCAAAAAGAACGACCGCAATGAGCATGAGCAAAAGAAACGTCCGCTGACCAGCACTCCGCTCTGTTCTAGGCCCCATTCTCCCCATTCTTTCTTGTTTTCTCAGCCTAAGATGTCTAAGATCATTTTACTTTTATGCCAGTACTGATTGAGATCAATCTGACAACTATCGACAGCTGTTGGTATTCTCTGCCATTTTAATCACTTAGAATCGAAAACGGTGGCAACCTCGCGCACTTCACAGTCGTTGCATCAATGCAACGCGCGCGAGTATTTAATGCATGAGCCTGACCGTTTAATGGCCCGATCTCGAGAGTAAATTTACCTTTATTCACCTTGATTGTACGCAGAGCCAAAATTTCTGAAACATTTATCATGCGATCTTGGACATGGGTCGCCGGAAACGTAATGCAAACAAGAAAGAACGGAAATGTGCTAACAGAAATGTGGCGGAAACATGATCGTTCGTTTCCGACTAGGAAACATAACGGAAACGCGTCCCGTCCATGGAAAACTAGATCACCATGTTTCCGCAGGGCGGAAACGAGACGGATTTAAGCAACTGCACGTTTCAGTCGAGTTTACAAAATACGGAAACACGTTATTTCGTCCTGTGGTGATAGTCTCGGGCATCAAATCCCCCCCCCTTGCCCGCATTCCCCCACGGGATTTACATTGATAGGTGCATAACTGTATGACAGTGGGTGGGACTGTGGGGCTTTGTTGCTATAAAATGATTGTCTCTAGGGGTTCAAACAAACTTCAACTTCAACTAAAGCAACGCCCACATTATGAATCACATTTGGGATTTCAATTCTAATTTCTTGACAAGCGAATACAAGTTAAGCCAATCTAAATGGTCTTGGACAATCTCCCGGACTCAGACTGGAGCTGGTCATGCAACTGGTTCTATCGCTGCTCCAGTGTGTTAAACAGCCAAGAATTATTTCAGAAACCAGACATCTACAACATAACAATCAAAATGATCTGCAACAACCAAAATTCCCATTCAAAGTTGACTGAATGCCTCACCACTTCCTACAATCTCTCTTACAGTACTGAAATCCCTTTTAAAGTACTGAAAAAATTATTAATGTAGAGCTGGTTTGAATGGGAACAAGACTGCGCTAAAGGTAAGAATAAAAAAGGGGAAAATTTACAATTCGTCATTTTTTAACTCATTCACTTTTTGCTAATCTACTTTTTTACTTAACAGTGATTCGTTGATCTTTAAGACCTTTTAATTTGACCAATGGTCAAAAGAACAACTGTCAGTAATTAAAAGACAAAACAAAACTTGCATCTGTAAATACTAAATATACAGGCTACTAACTTCACTCATGTCCGTATTTCACAGGGACCCTCTTGTAACTACCTTCTGAGAACCATATCCTAGGGCTATGTCATAAACGCTCTTGTTTACAGATAAAAACAGTTAACGTCTTTCACTTCAAGAGAATGTAATGGCGAAATTACTTGTCACTCCGACTATAACTTTTAAATTTACAGACGGCAACCTCTTGAGTTACTATACAAACTAAAACGTTTTGGGTAGAAGTTTTGCACACTTGTATTTATTTATTGCGATCAGAAAAAAATAGTAGAAAATAATCCTGATGCTGATACAACATTCAATTCAGCTTCCTCAATTTTTTAGTTTGATCTCGAAACGTTCAACTGATTAACATCAACCATATATATAGCCTGCGTGGCAGGCGTTTGAAAGGGAAGGGAAAGGGGGTCTCGCGCCTAAAACTCCCTTTCCCTTCCCTAGTCTTTCAAACGGCTGCCACGCAGCCTACCATATAAAGTTTCCACTGATTCCTTCGAAAAGTCTTTGATCCCATGGCTAAAATAGTAGAATAAACCATCTATTATATCAGTATGTTTCTGTTGTTCTGTCGATTCAAATTGAGGGTCATGTTGTTTAAAACTGTAATCAAATCTTTAACTCCGGCATACTGATGGCTTACCATGAAGCTACACCATACATGAGTAGCTTGTAGCTTGCTAGTAAGAGCAGATTAATTAGTTAACTGTAAAACTATGTATTTCCGAGTTACTTGTAGAGGGGGACTTTTACAGACTTTAGGATATGAAAAAGGAGTTGGTACAACCAGAGTTAACAGTTGAAAATGGTTTAATCTTGCTGACGCGTAGTTACAATCTCCTCTTAGCTATCTCAGATCTCAAGGTAAAAAAGCTACTTACAAGAGGTTCTATTTATATTGAACAATTAAGTTAATTAATTTGTAACAGTCTTACATGGTATTCATATGCAGGAAAAGGTGCTAGTAAGTGTTAGAGCTCGGAGGACAAAACGAACCGAAATTGAGTTGATCCAGCTGCGCGTGGAGGAAATTTTGAAAAACCAGAAATACCCTCTGGAAATATCTCTATCACCGAATTCCTTAATTTACAGAGAGCCAGAACGATGGTTCGAAGGGACTAAATTTTCCTAAGATTGTGTCGAAAGAAATTCTTGTTTAAGGGCAGAAAACTAAGTGAAATTTGGCTGAAACTGGTTCAACAGAGAACAAAGAACTCAAAAGGTGTTAGGACGCGGGGCCTCAGTTAAGCTAGATTTAATGAGGTAGGTAAGACTGATTATTATTCACGTCTTGGAAGCAAAAGTGAGAACTGATTTCAGCTTAAAACAAATGAACCTCGTTAAAGAAATTGCTCATTTTTCCTTTCCACCGCTGAAAACACCTACTAAGCAAAGTAATTATTTCTATCTAATGAACTTGTTTTTTTTATGTTACCGAAGTAAGCTCAAAGAGGTGTTTCTTAAAACGAATTGAAACTTTACTGTCAGGCCATCAGCTTTAAAATTATAATTGCGTTAACATTAAGAATATTAAGAGTTAAACCGTACAACTTGTCTTTTTCGGAATTATCTGAAACCCAAACACCAATACAGAATAAAAGGTCGATGCAAAACTCCATGTCCAGAATTCTGATCTTTTGACTGCCAATTATAATTGAACAAAAGTGTGGCATTTGTTTAGATACAACTGGAGGCACGTACATCCTGACAAAGGATAGTTGTATCGTGTAGTGAATACATTTCTTAACCGACCTGAACAAATTTATATATGAGGATATATAGGTTATTCCCAATGTATGGTTAAAATATGATATGTGAGATGAGAACCGGCAAAGACGTTTTGACTATTTGTTTGTTTGTATTGCGGTCTGATTCAAAGCTAATGGCGCAACAAAAGGTAGATGCATTCTTTAACCGCAGAAACTATTTCTTAGGGACGACTCACTTTATTATCCTTTGTTAGTCCTTTTCTCAATATTAAATACAGCAAGCGAAATTTTCTTTTAAGGAAGCAAAGCTGAAGTGAGAGATAAATATTAAGTTAAATGTCAAGGCGATTAAAAGACTTCCGAACGAGTGCGTTTGATTGCTTTTGGACTTAGCAATGTTATACAAATTGTTCCTATTCAAACTATTGTTTGAGAATTGATGAAGTCGGTTGGCTTTGACTTTTGCCTCGAGACAGCTAATAATTATATGAGTAAATATGTTTGTATATCTTGTAATTTTTTTGTAATTTTTTTTGTAATTATCTTATTTGCTTTTTCAAACACCTAAAATTTTAACTTGAGTTAATACGATCTATGAATATGTGGTAAAGCAGGAATAAGCTAAAGGTTAAGATATCTTCGAGGAGGAAAATTATGCAGAGACACTTAATTTTCAGTATCATGGTTCGAGGCTGAACCGGCACTTCTGTTCACGTTTCGCTCTAACGTTTAGTTATCCTCTAATAAGAGTGGTCATCATTGCGAAGTCAGCTCTACCCAACAGCCCGACACAAATTTATCAGCGGCAATCATTATTTTGAGAGCGAGGAAAACTAAAATAAATAAGAATTTTGATGAACTTAAATTTGGGTTGATATTCTGAAAAATGTGTGACTACATACTTATACGCGTACCCCTCTTCTCAGCGTCAGCTACATGCACGCATTTTAATCGAATTTTTATGGGATAATATAATTGCCTGTCTAATGAATTTTAGAATCCTCCCAATGACGCCGCAAAGGCTCTAAAAAATTAGCCAGTTTATTACTTTGTCCGTTAATTAAGGGATCAGACACCAGTTTCAGGACCAGTTACACACTACAATACATTTCGTGGCTGTGGGGCGTTTGTCTGGATTACTGTCCCAACACTGTGGCATCAACTGTTCCCACCAGGGTGGAGGCGTCTCGAAGCCCGGCTTGTGACCTGGACGGTTTCCTTCATCCACCCAGTCAAAGAAATCGTGCAGTGTAGTCCCTGGAGCGTCAGCAAAGGCCCGATGCCCATACCACATCTCCCACATTAACAGCCCTAAGCTGTAGATGTCTGCCTTGGAGTCGTACCGTTGAGAATGAAACACTTCAGGTGCCCTATAAACAGGTATTCCTCTAAAGGTGCTGGTGATGTCTATTTCTGCTTTAGCCAGGCCAACGTCAGCAATCTTCACTGTGTTATATTCAGACAACTTTAAAGGAACAATGCATTATGTTACAAAAAAATAGTGCAATCGTTCAGACAAAAAATTTTCTTTTTTGGTTTGTGACGCCGGCGAGTCGAGTGGAAAATTCCGAGTTCTTTCAACAAGAGTTGAACCTTTGACCTTCTGGTTGATAGTCCAGATACTCTACATTAACCCTTGGACGTACACCCCAATTCATACCCCCACAGTGGTACAAGGGGGGTGAATGGACCCCCCCCCCCCCAGAGTTTTTGATATGTTGCAGTATTTCGAAACGATTTTACCATCAGTGGAAAGCTTTTGATCTTCTCTACAAGATGAGGAATATTTTATGAGTGGTGGCGCTGCTGGGGCCCGTGACGTCACCAACAATAGTCGCCATCTTGGCCGCCATCTTGGATTTTAGCAAGAATTAGAAATCAGGTTAAAACCGCGAGAAATGGTGTTTTTTTGCTTGACATGAAAAAAAAAAACACATAAATAAGCACTTTGCATGATTTTAGCCACAAGATTTACTTTTATTGTTGAAAGAATTTGAAAAACATGTAATTTCACTCGAAAATGGCTTGACCGCCTCCCACTTATGGCGTCATATCTCGTAACCATAGAAACTGATCATTACTGAACTTGACTCAAAATGTGCTCAAGGAATGAACGAACAGCTACTGAAAAAATCAGGTCCTGATGTTTTTTCCTCTAGGAGAAGACTAAGAAAAGTCTTAAAGGGGGTGGGGTGGCATCCCCCCCCCCTGTAGATCCGACTGAGGGTTTGATAGTTACGTGTAAGCAAAGGCCATTAAACTAGGAACGTAATTTACCCTGCGAGCAAAGGTTTCCCTCTGGCATGGCTTTTAGCGTTTACCAAGTCGTTCGCGTCGCCTACGCCAAAAGCCATACCAGACAGAAACCTCTGCTCGCACGGTAAATGCCAGACTTTCTTATCTCATTTCCGGTTCCGGTAGTTGGGACCAACGAGAAACTTTGCCGCAGAAAACATAAAATATCCACCGCTTGGGCATCGCGCTCGTGAAACATTTGAGCTCGACTTGTAGGCAAGTCTAGGTAAATGCTTTTAAACAACTTCCATGCTGCTTGACAGTGGACTACCCCGGACAACGCCTATGATCAACTCCTTATCCTCAGAGTCACTTCGTATCACAATCGACTTTTCATTACCACTCCAAGGAAACCAACTGATATTTTACGTTAATTGAGATTTACTTCGGAGTAAAAAAAACACCCCCACCAACCCCCGCCCCTAAAAAATGGGCACTCAAAAGAAAAGTGGCACTCGATCAGCACAACTAGACTGCAAAGTAGTCGGGTTTTTTATCTTCAAAATCGGTTTTGAAAGGCGCGTAGCGCCGGCGTGATATACCCTCATTCCAGACCGGGAGCCCATAACCATTATAGGCTCCACCTACTTCAGATCATTATAAGACCTTTCCCTTGAACGTTCGCGCGCGCGTTTTTAACCTAGGAATAGACCTTCGCAGCCCTCTCTTCCGATACCTTGAAATCGATTAGCTGTTTGTTTACTAAAGGAGAAAGAGACAAAACATCCGTCCTGTCGCACTCTGTAATAACACTTGTCGCACTTTGTAATAAACTTAAAATGGATGGTCGGAGGACAAGAAAACCTAATAATAAGTATCATCATCGATAACAATAACAACAACAATAATAATAATAATAATATTCCACTGAACGGTTTTGTGCACCAGTTTCTCAAGTGGGGGCGGAGGAAAGTGTTTACATAAACTGCGGCCCTCCGGCTTCAAGATCTCTGTAGGAAAGTACCACTCTTTCTATGCGAACGACCTCGAGACCATGAGACTATGAGATAGTGTCCATAACAGCTAGAGTCCGTAGTTATGGGAATTTGTATTGGAATTTAGCTGCTGTCCCTATTATCGGGTTTTCCGAAAAGGTTTCCTTGACAGTCAAGAAAACTATTTTGAAAGTTTTACTAGTTGCATGGGAAACGAAGAAATCCCGTATCATTAATTACCTGCGAGAATATGACCAGAGATATAGCGAGATTTTAGTGCCATACTAATAGTTCATAGAATCAAAAAGTACAAACATCGAACACAACACGGTGCCACAATCATTATCATTATCAGACAATCATTATCACCAGCATCGTTATTATTACTGTTAGTATCACACTATTGCAAACCATTTGCCCACGTCGTCATTGTGCCACAATGACCGCCAATTGCGCTAGAACCGACATGAAACAAAATAGATTTATAATAATCAGAAATTGAGACATCGCAAAGTGTAGCCTAGATAAGATAACAAAAAGTAAAAAAATGAAAACACGAAAAGCAAGTCTTAAGTACAATGATACTAACAAAAGATCTCCTAAACTGTCAAGTTTACTAGTTGCACGGGAAACGAAGAAATCCGGTATCATTTATTACCTGCGAGAAAATGACCATATAGCGAGATTTTAGTGTTTGTTACCATGAATAAGCGCCATACTAATATTTCATAGAACCAAAAAACACAAACATCGAGCACAACACGGTGCCACAATCATTATCATCATCGTCGTTATTATTACTATTAGTGTCGCACTATTGCGACAACTGTTATTAACAAAGTGAGACAGATTATTTTATTACAAAGTGCGATGGTCTGTTATTACAAAGTGCGATAATTTTGTTACAATGTGCCATAGGTATTACAAAGTGTGACAACAAACAATGGTTACGGCCGACCGCCTTCCAAATTTTGGCATTCAAATTAATTTCATCCACAGAGAAGACTTCACTGCAAGATATTTCCCTTGTACCCTAGCATGCACTCCAGTTTGCATACATGATCAAACGACTTTACAATTACAATCACGATAAAATATTCTAGCTTCATACCAAAATGTTTTCCAACTTTAGGTCTCCGTGCACAACTCCCTTTGCGTGAATGTAAGCCAACCCATCAATGATCTGTTCTGCCCAGCGGCATACTTCTTCGACGGTAGTAGGATTTTCAGATCTACCAGGCGGTGACTCCAGTTCACTGAAGAGGTGGCCTCTTAAGTTTCCTTTGCACTTCTCCATGATAAAGACAATTCTACAAGTGTTCATTTTGAGAGAGATGCCATAAAACTGCACGATGCGAGGGTGGTTTAGAATTCTGACATATTAAGAGAAGAAAGAGGTACAGTTAACCTCTGTCAGATGCTTCAACTTTGTTTAGTCTCAACTAAGGGTACGTTCGATTGATCGTATTCCGGAATAAGAATTCGTAAAAGCAAGTTTTTTTACAAATCTCTTCTACCGTGAGCTTTGGACCATGCATTTCAACTCTACATACATTGGAATAGTTTATTTCAGGCAAATTTCTAGATATTGCACTGAAATAAATGCTAAAACAAGTGGTTTCTACAGTTTATTCCATTAATCCTTATTCCGGAATAAGGACAATCGAACTCGCCCTGAGTTTGCCTTTCAAACTAACAGGAATTCAAATACAGTACAAAAATAATTTCTATCGCTATCGCTATTTATCATAGTTGAATTAAGTTATATCAAACACGGTTTTTTTATTCGGCTTTAGTTAAAATCTCTTCCCGATGTGTAATATGTGTGTCTCTTGTTTAATTTATAAATTCTACACGTAGCGCAGTACGTAAAGCAAACAATTTCTCCACCTCCTTACTGTGGTTCATGTGTGACGGAAAGTTAATTTTTCGAACGATTTGAACACTCATCGGGAACTTGGCGCTTTAACTATCATCACTCGCCCGGTTAAATTCAAATGAATCTTCTCCAGCGTAATTATACAAACAATTCTGCATTGATGCTAGTGAAAATGTAAGTTTTTAGCTAGTATATCTTAGTTTATAGTTAATTTGCCTAAAGGGCAAGCCTAAGAAAGTGCATTCTTTGCACTCTGAAAACAACCGTGATATTTAGTACAAATCATACCCTGCACCATTTGCCACATTCTCTCCACAAGGGCTTCACATTGCTCCTTCCAATTATACATCTTTCCATAGGACGCTTTAACACCTAGGATCTCTTTGAGCCGCATTGCATGCCTGGAACGAACAGCCTTAATCGCTTTTGCCCATTTCGCAGGATCATAAGAATTCACCACACACAAATGACCGTGAGGAACAACTTCTATTGCTTTGGCAAATCCTGACCTTTCACCAACAAGAATGGGTAGTCCTGCAGACAAAGCTTCAACTGCAACAAGGCCAAATCCCTCTGATTTCGACGGCATGATAGCAAGGTCAGCTTCGCAAAGAAAAGTTTTCATTGTGTCTCTGCTTTGCACAAATTTCCTGACAGTCAACTGCCTTTTAGCAATACCACACTGTAGAAGTCGGTTTCTTACCTCTTCGTGTTTTCGTTCAGGCGCACTGACAAAGATTAACGGTATCTGATGTCATATGGCAACCAGCAATCTAACAACCCCAAGTACTCGAAAACTGCAAATTTTAAACTTTTTAGACTGTCAAAATAGCAGTTCACCACGTCCCTATGGGCATGTCATATTTAGCGGTAATTCGGCTATCTGCAAGGGCCAGCTCCTCTTTCTTTTCCCTTTTCCATTTTGATATGTAGTATTTTCTGGTATTTTGCTCGTTTACAGTCCTTGTTTTGTTTGTTTTCTTTTCATTAAATGCCGTACTTGTACCAGAGGACATTGGACAGCTGTCACGTGGCCATTTCTGATCAATGAAATTCGTCGCTCAAAATGCTTATGGATTGGTAGACACGAGAACTGAATTCTCAGTAAGACCTTAATTTGGCACAATAGCTCGGTACTCTGCACTCTTAGCTGTGTGCTTGTGCCGTGACTTCAGCTACCCGCTCAACCGGTAAAAAAGTTAAAAATGGCATTCGAACAGCACTCGGTGACGAGATCATCCATCATCTGACACCGTATCTGATATTTTCTCTCTTTTCGTCACTTCTGAACAATTCATTTCCGTTGCCTGGACTTTTCTGTCAATAGTAAGGACAACGAATTGTCTTTACGTTGTCCAACTTTTTTAAACTGATAATGGTCAGGCCGCCATATTCCTTATGGAACAGGTTGGAGCTGTATTACCTTCAGCCTTTCATCTTTGTAATTTTCAATGCGTGGCTGTACCCCACTGGGTAGTCCTTGAAGGTATGTCAGCGGCACCCAACGATAAAATAGTCCAAAACCGCTTAAACATAGCATTGTTAAACGTATTTTAGTATTTCAACGGTAGATATAGACATTTTTATCCCCTAAAAATTTTTCATCGACCTGTTCGAATTTCCTAGCTGAAAGTCTAGTGATCCGATAATTATAGGGATCAAAACTTACCTTTTCCAAAATTTCAGCCAGGAAAAAGGCTCCCGAAAATTCTAGGTGATTCTGGATCTCAAATCGTCTTCCGAACAGATATTTTCCGAAAATTAGCGTTAGGTACCCCTGGTATGTTAGCTGATTTAACTTTCTTTTCTTCTCAGCCTCCCGTGTTCTAATATCTTTCCTGATGTTGAGTTCATTTAGATGACCTAGGTATTCAATGACTTGATTTCCCTCGACATTGATCCCCCTCAGTTTTGGGCTCTTAATAACGAATGATTTCTCTCTTGTTCTATAAAAAGTCAACGGTCAATGCATCGTCTGAAATGGACAACAAGCAAGCCAAGCTTTTCAGACATCATGCAAGACACGTTTTTTTTTTTAATTGCTGTCTGAAAGGATCTTTATATAGTGTATACAAGTGCGTTACTTCCGATTGCCTCCAAATTTGGCCCACAGGAAGTCAATAGATGTAACCAATTATGTGGCTTGTTCCACTGAGCCCCCGATTGGTTCTTACTTTCACGCAACGCAATGATTTTTGTTGCGGCTATTTGGCTTTTGCGACGAATGAAAGCTTGTATCTACGAATTACGACCAAATACAAGTCAAGCAAATTATTTTGAAGGATTCTGGAGGATAACAAGCCAATAAACGCGAAAATCGAGGTAAGAAAATTAAACAGTAAGAATCTTAGCCTGTTCACAGACCCTCTATTTTCTCTTAAAAGTCCGCCGAGCGCGGGTCGGATAAAAATTTTAAAAAAGCCGGGAATTAAATGAGCGCTAGCTCAAGGGGGTTGGGGAAAAATAAAGCAACGTCTGTATACGGGCCAGGAGAATCTGTGCGTGCAATTTTCGCCGAGCCAGCTATATCTGATCTGCCACACACATTCGTCAAACGCAATGAATTCCTTCCCTCTTAGTCCGCTTAGCTTTTTGCCTTCAAAGTTTTGCTTACTTTGATAACTACTTTCAACAGCTGATTCATGTTTGCTTGTTTTTTAACTCGATATTTCGATGAAAAACCAAAAATAAAGCGTCATTTTTAAGTAAATAGAAACTCACGTGGTGACTCCGAAGTGGTGAGTTTCATAATGCAAATTAGCCTAATCTCATTAGCATGATGTGACAGCGTCAGAAAATAAACTTGTAGAAAATTCCTAGTCGCTCTATATTTTCGGACGACTTGCGGGCTGTTTTGCTTAGCTATTGAAGAGAAACTTTTATTACTACAATTTAACACAAAATAGACAATTTTTCTGGCAAAATTAAATTCATTATTAAATTTTTATTATTATTATTCCAAAAATGTGACTTGTTTCTTTTTGTTGCGGAATATTATGGGTTTCCTGAGACCGAAATATATCTTTTTTTGAAACGGTATTTTTTGCCCTTTCCAATGAGGTATACCAGTAGCTTTATGCGGCACTACAAATAACAGCAGAGGTATAATTTTTTAAAAGGTACATGGTCAATTTACCTAAAAATTAGCTGAAGCCAATGGTAGCTCCTGGTGTCTCAGCTCAAAATTTTCATTTTCACCTGTTGGACACTCATAGCTCATTACTTTATCTCACGCTAGGAATAGTCCCCCAGCTAGTGTTGTAGATTATCGTTGAAAAGTGCCGAAGGGAGCTGGATAATAAGATATTTTACAAGAAAGCAAGTCATTTTAATTTGTTAAGTTTATGGAAATTTTGTGGTTGGAGTTATTTATTTTATTTACTTGTTGATTTATTGATATATTTTTTGTGCGATCTGGCTCAATTTTGGTTGACTGACAGCTAGTGGCCAGTAAACAAAGTTCGCTGAACGCCATGCAACTGCGTTCACCTGGCGTACTTTCTCAGGAGAATGTGAACTGGAAAACCTTTGCCTCCCGTCATGTTTTCCCTTTGATTTGACCGTGAGCTTTTGGCCGATATATCAAAGGTTCTTTGCAGACTACTGTGTGAGAAAAAGGTCATTGATTTAGTTCAAGATAACCTGGATCGGACACCGTCCATGAGAAAGTTCTTTCAGTGTCGGATTTTGTGGTGGCTGGCATCGTCAACGTCAGATTCTCTGGGGGGAGGGAGGGCATTATTTTCTACATCAGATTCCCCGGTGTGGGTGTCGTCAACATCCGATTCCCAGGGTTGGTGTCATGAAAAACAAATTCCCTGGGGTGGGTGTCATCAACATCAGACTCTTTCATAAGGGTGGGTGTTGTTAACATCATATTCCCTGGAGTACGTGTCGTCAATATCAGTTTCTTTCATAAGGGAGGGTGGGTGTCATCAACATCAGTGTTGTAAACAACAGATTCCCCATAATGGGTTTGGTCAAAATGAGATTCCCCGGGTTTGGGTCATCAACATCAGATTCCCAAGAGTGAAAGTCATCAACATCAGAATCCCAGGACTGGGTGTCGTAAACATCAGATTCCCAGAGGGGACCTTCATCAACATCAGATTTCTAGGGGTGGATGTTGTCAACATCAGTGACTGGTTCTAGCACTGCTTCAGTGAATCAGTGTCCCATCAGTTTCAAGTTCATAAACCAACATTTCAAAAAACAATTAAAGTAATCTGGAACAACTAAAGTTTCCATTCAAAATTTAATGCCTCGCTACTCAGTCTTTGCAAATTACCAAAATCAATGTAGAGCTAGTTTGATTGCAATGCAGTCTATTGCTCTAAAAATAGGAAACAAATGATTCATCACAGGAGACCATTTACTCTCCTGTTCATCTTTTTTTAAAACTCATCTACTTTTTACTTTCCTACTTTTTAAATTGTCTTTGCTACTTATCTTTTGTTACTGAACAACAATCAGGAAAAAGACAAGAGAAAAACTATAAATATACAGGCTACGCAGTTCGCTTTAGGTCCATGTTTCACAGGAACCCTTTGTAAATACCTACACTATGAAACTGAGATTTGTGAAAATCCCATGAAAATCACTTGAAAATACCATGAACATCATTTCATGGCCAATGAATCTTGCAAAATAATTTTTCATGACCTCATCTGTGGCCATTAAATTTTCGTGGAAAACAAAGTTAAAGGTGTTTCATGGCCCATGAATTAAATTGGACTACTTTCATGGGTCATGAATTTCCAATGAAACACCACATTATGGAAACATAGAACCTTATCCTTAGACTACCTTAGACTATTTAAACGCTTTTGTGTACAAAACAGTTTAACTCTTAATTGATTGTCACTTTAGCTTTTAATCCCTTGGACAAGCTACCAAAACGGTACAATTTTATGCGATCAGGCCAATTTTTGCATTTAATTTTTTTGCATTTTTCTAAAAGAAAAAGAAACATAAAAAAACAACTTAAAAAAAAAATTAACAAAAAGATAAACACTAAACTATGACAATTTACCGCGGGAATGCTTGCCCCGCATTGTTCCATTCAGAAACAAAATGGTATACAATGAAATACTGGTTTATTGTTTGAAAATATGTATTTCTATTTCACGTACTCAATAAAAACGAAAATATTATCAATGCTGGTACTGGGTACTTTCTGAAAATCGCAAAAATCAGTTCCCGCAAAACACAAGAAATCGCCAATCTGCAAAAATAAACTCCCGCAAAAATTTCGTGCTACACGGTAATCCCCATGATGATACAAAAGTCAAGTCAACTCACAGCGTTACAACTACGACAAGTTAACATCTGCATATTCTATAACTTTTTTCTTGGTAGTTAACTTTTTGGAAAATTGAAGGCTTTCGGCATAAACATAAATTTTCCCTCACTAACTAAGTATCCTTGTTTTATTTGTTTGTGTCTGTTTTTTCTAGTGGATTATCAAAGATCTGATCAAAATTCATTTTGATCAAATTTCTATTTGGTTTATGATTGCCTGCCTCTTTTGAGAGTGACAAACAGAGAAGCCTCTAATTTTTGAATCCTTTTTCTGACACATCTGGAATTTTGTCACAAAGCTGTGACATATGCTAGTTACTACTTATTCTATATTATAACATAAGTTTCAGATCTTACAGAACTGACTATTCTTTCGTTACATTCTTTGGCTGTGGGGCGTTTGTCTGGATTCCCGTCCCAGCACTGTTTCATCAGCTGTTCCCAGAAGGATGGAGGCGTCTTGCAACCCTGTCTGTCAACTGGACGGTTACCTTCATCCACCCACTCAAAGAAACCTTGCAATGTTGTTAATGGAACGTCAGCAAAGACCCGCTGTCTGTACCACATCTCCCACATTAACAGCCCCAGGCTGTAGATGTCTACCTTGGAGTCGTACACTCGGGAATGAAACACTTCAGGTGCCATATAAGCAGGTGTTCCTGCAAGAGTGCCGGTGATGTCTATTTCTGCTTTGGCCTGGCCCATGCCAGCAATCTTTACCGTGTTTTCTTCGGACAACTTTAATGGGACAATATATTATGTTATGACAAGAGCGTAATAACCACGTAATTGTATTAGGGGTCCAACCTATGACAGTCTGGTTACTAATCCAGACACTCTACCATTGAGCTACAGGACACTCGTTGGAGTCAAGGCCATAAGTAGGTATATAAATGTATATTTTCTAATAACTCCCTTGCATATGGATATGTTTTTGTAGTGTTTTTTTTTTAAGTAACTTGTTAACGTTTTGCAGTGTTTTTGTTTTGTATTCACTATTTAAGTGTGAAAATATTAATTAAAGCTCATAAATTACAAAAAAATAATAACTTCCGTGCTGCATGGCTGGAGAACAGTAAACTGTAGGATTTACTGGTCTCTTTTCCTCGAAAATGTCCCTTAACTTAACCTCCAGGTATCGCCCATCCTCACACTTCACCAAAACTGGTTCCCGAATACTCATTTTGGTGGGAGAGAGGTGTTTAATACGAAACGTACGTTAAATCAGACTCAAACTCACTGATATAGTTTAACTTTTTCGAGGATTCATTGTCTCTTTTTAAAATCAGTTTTGGTATTTTTGCGATTCCTCCAGTCTTAATGGTTTTCTCACTGGGAATGGATGTTCGCGTTCATTTCCATTCAAACTGCTTGTCCCTGTGCGGTTGATTGCTCTTATTACGGCAAGTTCACATTCATGCCCCATCTTCTGAGTCGCTTTTTCCCACAATCAACGTTCCGACCAACCCAGTAAAACAAACTCAACATACATTTCAGGTAATTAATTGAGATCCATGTCCGCTTTGTACTTGCGTTGTTATTTTTTTCCGGTAACACTTTTCCTGCTAAATCGTGGAAAAACCGAGCAAATCGCAAAAGTCAGATCACCCAAAAATCAAGTGTTACTCGACAGACTAACTTCACAGCCCACTTTCCTAATACCTTGATATCGGTCACCAGTTTATTTGCAGAAGCGGAAAATTTCTTTATGCAGCTTTTTAATTTTCTGTTATTTTCTGTTATGTGTAACACCAGCCTTAATCGAACAAATGACATGTTACAACTCGTAAATTGCAGTACTGTAACATTAGTTTTGTTGTTGTTGTGTTTTCTTTGTCTTAACCTCTTTTTTCCGTTGCACTTTTTTTCTTGTTACCATTGTTATTGTCAATAAAGTGCAATAAAAAAAAGTAAATTAAAAAAAAAACAGCCCCAGCTGAAATTTGAGACATTAGGATTCTCACTATGCCCGACGTTTTGACATTACATTCAGGAAGAAGACGTCATCCTAAGATTACCCTGCCCCACTTCAATTTGCACACATAAACAAACAACATTATATTTACTATCCTGATAAAATATTCTAGCTCCATACCAAGATATTTTCCAGGGTTAGGTCCCCGTGCACCACCTTCATTGCATGAATGAAAGCCAAACCATCGGTTATCTGTTTTGCGTAACGGCATAAGTCTCCGACGATAGTAGGATTTTCAGATCTACCAGCAGCAGACTGTAGTTCTCTGAAGATGTAGTTCTTTAAGTTACCTTTGCACTTCTCCATGACAAAAATCATTCTCGAGGTGCTCGGAACAAGAGATATGCCATAAAACTGAACGATGTGAGGGTGGTTAAGCTTTCTGGTGAACAGAAGAAATATAGGTGGAATTATTAATCTCACTGGTTCTTCAACTGTGTTTTCAATAATACATAGGTACGTTTTATTGCCAACCTGTATACATTCTACATAATCTTGTTATTACAAAAAATATATACGGTTAAGGCAAAGGGAAACACAGCAAGCTCTGATGAGCTTTTTTAAGGTTTCCAAATGATTTCTTTACATAGTTGAAAAACATAAAGGTTGCATAATGAGTATCACTATCATTTTTTCAACTTTGTCAGCCTTTCAAAAAACATAGGAATTCAAATGCAGTACAAATATGATTTATATCTCAATCTATTCTCTCAACTCATGGATAATAACTCAAAGGAAATCATGCTGGTTATATTGACGTGATTTACTCTGATGAGAAACTTCTTGTTCTTGCAGTCAGCTTGACGTCTCCTACGGAAACGTTTCCTTAGTTGAAAAGTTATATCAACATTCCAAAAGTGTCTCAAACATATATTACTTCACTGGACGTCGTAAAGTTTATAACCTCTTTTCCCGGTGTTGACGTGATGAAACACTGCCTCTCGTGTTTCATATGTAAATTCTACAAGAAGCACAGTACAGAAAGCAATTCTCCACCTCCTGTCACTATTCATGACAGTTGTAATAAGTATTGTAATTAAGCTTCGAAATTTCTATTTCTCTTTTTTCTTTGAAGTGTTGCCAAGTGCCATACCATATAAAGTATATAATATTCGAGGTATTAGAGACGTTTTTACATAATTCGTACCCTCAAAGCAAGCAGTATAGGTCTGAGGTCGATTCCCAGCCAGGCAACACGTGGGGTTTAAAGTAACTGAGGAGAATATAATGCCTTTGCTTTGTAGTTAGACGTTTTAGTCATCTATAATCGGGGTCCGCTTCACAACACACTAATCTGACTCTGTGCGACCTACAAGAACGATTAGGGACGTAAAAAAACAAAACGAAACATTTCAACCTGCCTCAAAATTTTCATCTCCTGCATGATTTCGCTGGCATTATCGGCATTAAGCTCCCCACTGAACACCTTCAAAGCCACAGTCGTAACCTCTTCCCTTCTTCTCATTGTTCCTTTGTAAACTGCAGCAAATGCTCCACCGCCAAGGTGGGATGACATTTCTTCTTTCCAGTCTAATTCTTCTCGGTCTATTTTGACTACACAAACATCTGTTATGCCAAATAGTGCTAGCTGATCTCTTAGTTGTGACCCATCAACAAATATTGGCTGGTAGCGAGCTTTTGTTTCTTTCTTAGAACGAGTTTCCTCCAAAAGTTTAAGTGAGAGTTGTTTATATAGTTCTCTGTCCGCCTCTATCAGTTCTGGAAGACATTCTTCAATGTGATCAAGATAGAGCTTAGCCTCTCTTAATTTGTCTTCCACAAACCTTCTAAGCTCCTTGTTCTTTCTTCTTTTAGCGAGGAAATTCATGGAAGCTTTTTTCATAAAACTTTCCTCGTCAAATTCAAAAAAATCTTCCACAGAGTAACCCAACTCAGAATCGAACACTTCATCGATCTTGTCTGCGATGAAGAGAAGCGCCCCGACGGTAACTCTCCTCATGTTCATGAACGCCTTTCGAGCGATAGAAAAGTGAAATCTAAAGGTTTTCTTTTCTGAAATGCCAAGGCCTCCGTGAACACCCGTGGCATCGCTTCGGAGATTTTGCAGCTCAAATTCAACACCGTCGTAGCAATTCTCAAACATTGACATGAGAAAAAGGCGAGCATTTGCAAACACCTGGTTTTCTTCCTCCCATCGCTTTACAATCTCTTGAAACTGGCTAGACAGTACGGTGGTGATTTCCTCTTCCGCTCCTTTCCAGCCAGCTAGGTCATCTAGATATGGAAACTTGTCCCACGACTGTGATGTAAACTGCTCAATTACTTCTTCTGAAGAGAGGTATTCGCAGAGTTGCTGCACAACACCATTAACTTTTTCGTTGTAAGATCCGTGCAGATTCTTTATCACTTTCTTTTGATCTTTTCCAATTGCCTCCAAGCGTTGATTAATCTCCTTCATTTTCTGGTTAATTTCCTCGTTGCTTCTGTAAGCATTTACCACAAACATTTTTTCCTGAACGACAATCCTTGAAAGAAGTGTGTAAAGCCAACTGAAACAAAAAAAGCACGTTTATTTGTTTCTGCTAAGAAGTAATCGTAAAGAAAAAAATCGCACCTTTGAGGAAAGGGAAGGGCGCTGTGTTAACCAACTTGGAAAATAAATGAAAGGCATCAGTAAAAACAGCCTTTTAACCTCCTGAGACCCGGCGGAAAAGGTTATTGGCAAAAGCGATATTTCGTGCAGTGATATTACTTAGCACCCTATCCTTTTAAAGTATTTCAAATTAACTAACACTGATTTTAGTGTCAGGCTCCCTCCTACTCTGTTGAGCTACTCCCGAAACTGAAACTTGTCGACTCGAATTTTCAATGAATTGTGGACTACTTAATTAATTAACATTGCATATACAGTCGACTCCCGATAACTCGAACCTTCAAGGGAAATGGAAAAAGGTTCGAGTTATCGGGAGTTCGAAGAAAATAACCGAGAGAAAGGTAAAAAACAGTTTTTACTGCACAGTGAACATTTTAATCACATTTAATAGTAGAAATGTCAAGTGAAAATTAAAAGATACTTTTAGATTATAAATCAGAACATAACGTAACGAAACATAGCCTAAATAGAGCATGCGTTTTACTGTTTTGAGAAGAAAAGCTGCTTCACGTTAGCCTGTGACAATCAACATTAGCCTCCACTAGTAAACTACACTCCTACAACACGTCAATAGGAAATCCAAAATTCAATGTTTCGGACGCCAGTAGATGACTTTTTTCCCGACTTTTTAAGGGCTCAAAACATGATTCGAGTTATCAAGGGTAAAATTATATAGAAAATGACCTGAAGGGAAACGAAAATTGGTTCGAGTTACCGGGAGTTCGAGTTATCGAGGGTTCGAGTTACCGAGGGTAAAATTACAGTGAATGTATGACGGAAATCCAGGGGAAATCGATTTTGGTTCGAGTTAGCGCGAGGTTCGAGTTAGCGAGGGTTCGAGTTATCGGGAGTCGACTGTATTATAATTTATTACAAATAAAACGATGCGATGTTTCTCCCTTTTATGCGCTTCGACACCCCCAACACGCATATCAGTTCTAACATCGTAGTCTTCGCCCTGTATTTAGTCCGGCTGACTTCGTCTCGCCTTGGAAGAATGAACAAGAGGTAGAAATGTATTTTGTTTGCATGTTTGTGGTCGAACATCCCTGGACGATTATCAATTTTGTCTCATGATTTTTAACACTTTTCTCTCAGGATTTCAGGATGGGATTTCTTAGTTGTCTTCGAAAATATAATCTTGTTGAGACCTTTCTAACAGGCCTACTGTGGGACCTTAAGTCGCCCTAACTTAAAGCGACTTAACGTCCCAAAGTAGGCCGCGACACCTGCAAATTCCACTTTATATCACTGTTAATAGTAAGTCCTAGCAATTTCACACTGTTCACGGTCTCTAGGGTCTGCGGACCGTTATTTACGCAGATAGGTTGAAAAACTGGCTCGTTCCTTGCAAAGCTAATCCTGAGATCTTTGCATTTCCTTTCATTTAACTGAAATCCGACATTCCTTGCTTGCCTTACGAGATCGTCTACCACTTGCAGAATGTTCAGCTCTCTTGACCTTTACATACCACCCCAGAAATTGTATTACCATCTACATATTTCCACATAGCTGCCCCTCTTGCATTCAGATCATCAATCATTATTAAAGAAAAGAAAAATGGAAAGACTCCGGCATCAGGTTACTCGAACTAGAAAGTTACAACAAGGAGTAAATGTATTTGAAGTCCAGATTAACGCTTACTTCCAATGAAGTTCCAACTTAGCTTCAATGTTCTGTAAGATGACCGACCTCATTCCATCCATTAAAGAGAAAAGGTCTTTGGAGATAACACCAAGGTTTTGAGCGGTAGTAGCTCTTGTGGTTGACATGTAGATAATTTGTGATTCGGGATCAATGCCGGACCAGGCTCTTTTCAGTTTTTTTACAACATCATTCTTGACCAACTGAACTTCTTGCTCTTGAACTGCATCCCACTTGTTGCACACAAACAAAGTGCATATGGATAACAAATCTTCCAGTATGTCAAGCGATATTCCGCCTTGTTCTTTTCCTTCCTTTGGAACCCCGATTAACACGCTTCTCGCTCTTTGCAGTAGTTTTTCAAGCTGTAAGGCAAACATTATGTGAACATGTTTTCGTCAGCCTCTATAGCTGATGGCAAGGTTTTCGTTATTGCATTAAATCTACCTTGTCCTGACAAACATTTGTAGCAAATGCTCATCGGAAAACTACCTCACTTTACAGCTCTATGGCGCATTCTCCATGTATTTTGCCATATCAGAAAATTCGCTCATTTTTGAACAGCAGAGCATCATTACTTTAGTCGGTCAAAAACGGTACCACTATCAAAATAACTACCCGGAAACGAAACGTCTTCCATTTTATATTGCCACGCCTTAAATCTTGCCGTTTATCTTTTTCTTGATTGGGCTTTAGCCATTACCGTCTTTAATTGAGGAAATTTTGTACAATCTCAACATATCAAACTAACTGGGTATTCCTAATGCTATTTACAAAACTTGCTCAGTCTGAGGCTAGAAAATATATTTGCACTTTCTCACAGAAAAATAGTCATATAGTTCTAAGTAGAACTAACGAAGAATATTCACCTTCTGTGCGTCTTATTTTACGTGTAGTTTCACGTGACTTTTGATGACCTTTGATGTAAACAAGCCCCATCCGCTCTCTCCCACATACTGTACTTGTACGAATTGAGAAGTAGGAGTCGCCGTTTCATGTTCCCGTTTATTTATATATTTTCCATTCCTTTCGCTGTTTGAAACTCGAATAGTTCCGTTGTGGAAATGTCTAAGCAGAAGAATAAGAGCGATTTTAACGCCAAGAGCATGGCAGAACTCTGAGAACTGCAGGAACGAGGAGTGTAAGTGCCTATAGAGGAAATTCCCCCCTCAGCACTGGACCTAAACTTCGAAAGAGATAAAACCGGTGATGTAGGCAAATTTCGGTCGAGACGAGAATGTAAGCACATTGCCGTGTCATGAATTATAAGTGTGCGTATCATTAGTTTCATCTTTTTCAAGTTTAAATCCACCCGGCAAAAACATTCTTTCAACTGCAGAGAAAATTTCCTCGCGCTTGTTGAAACTCCATGTTCCAGAGAATAAAACTATCCGAATTTCAAACAGGAAAAGGGAAGAAAAATAAATAAATCAACGTGAACTTGAAATAGCAACTATCTGCCCCTGGGTCTCCTAGGATGGTATGATACGTACGTGGGTATCAAAAGTATCAAACGTCATCAAAAGTACGTGAACTACAAGTGAAATCTGACGCTCAAAAGGTAAATTCTAATTACATGGAATGGAGTGCGGGGGCGTGTGGGAAGCCTCCCCTCCCCTCACCAACGTCTGTACTTAACGGATGCGTACAATCGAGCGAAATCGATCAAGATACTCACCCTGTCTTTTTGAATACCACCAGCGTTTGAACTGTTAATGACATACATAAAAGCAAAGACTTCAGGCAGATACTGGATTACCATGTCGTCCATCTCTTCAGATTCTCCGACACCAGGGCTGTCGATGATTACTAAGCCTGCCTATGATTCATAACCAAAATTTGTAAAATATTACAAAATTTGTAAAACAAATCTTGATAATTATATCTTCCACAAAGAATTACCGGAAATGTTCGGTAACAGAGCTATCAGAATTTAACTCATTCACCTTAAGTAATGAGAATTCTCGTGAAACATTTTCTATATATTCCCTTAAATACGTAAACAAAGAATTATTAAGAAAAAAAAAATTATCTCGCAAACAGACCTAAAACGAAAAAAAAGCTTCATTTGTCGGTAAACAATTTTCTAGAAGCTGCATAAGTTTTTACGCATGAATTCTGTTGTCACAATTTTGACCAGACTGAGACTAGACTAGTCCTGGAGCGCGACCAAAGTGTGACCGAGCTAAAAGCAAACCGTTAAAAGTTCATTTTTTATAGTTTTTGCCATAGACAAAAACAAGAAACTTCAAAATTTTTACCCAAGCAACTCTATTGGTTGCCTCTAAAGTGATTAAATTCCCCTCCCTTACAGCGTCTCTCCTCTCCCTCCCCCTTTGTCTGTATTCACGGGCAGGCGTACGCTGACGTCATCCATAGGTTTCCAATTAGTATAGCAATGGGGCTACGCTGCGCGTGCTTGGTGCGCACGGAAGCTCTGCTATCAGTCTACCTACAGAGTATTGTGCGACCAAATGAGCTCGATCTACCTCCAAAACTTTGTGCGGCCAAAAGAGCTCGACCTTTTTGACAATTGAGCCTTTTTCACGGTCAGTCTTGACGTGAATGTATGGGGAGATCTGATCGAGGAAGCTTTGATCAGATCCTGTTGGCTGCTCAAGTAAAATTTCCTTAGTTTGGAGTCCTGTTTCAGGATCCTTGTCTTTAAAGTGCACCACCAGCCTGCGTTCCTCTCCAAACTTCAGTTCACATATGGTGGACCTTGTGCTAAGAAGGGAGTAAGGTAGAATCTCCTCTCCGAGAATGAGATTGATCAAGCTGCTTTTACCAGATGACGTTTCACCTGTAAATAAACCAAAACGAAGGGTACATGCCATTGGAAAATCCGTTTATTTCTGGTTTGCCCACTTTACATGGTTCACGCCTTGGGCAAATGGTAAACAAAATTCAAGACTAGTAAATTCTGTTGGGAATCGCGTTTACCATTGTACAAATCCATCCCATTTTATGGAGAACAGCCGCAGAGGTCTAAAACGGGTACTATGAGGAGCTCCGAAGAATGGAACACTATATAACTTCCGTTTTCGACGTTCCGGCCTGGAAAACAGGACTGCTATCTTTTCAGCCGTTCCGTTTGTTTTCCAACCGAATTTTGCGGAAACTTTTTGTAGATGGTTAACAACCCGGACTCCTTATTGAAATACATGTCCAAGAATTCTCGGGTGAAACCTGCTTTTAATTTAGGGTTCAACTGGATACAGGTCCGTCCGGTTCGACCTCCATTTTTAAAAATTCTCGTTTTTTTCTCCCTTGTTACAGTGAAGTAATCGAAATTTCGGTCGAAACGTACGTAGAAGGCTTCGGTCCAGTCGGAAATTTTGTTTTAATCGAACAACGTGACTTCGTTTCATTTCCCATTGGTTAGTTTCCCTGATCTCTGACTGGTCGGTCTGGCAAAGTGGAAAGAACCCCGGGCCGAAGATTACCAGCCGAACTCTAAGAAAAAGGTGGTTCAATCGATCACTTTCCTAAGCTTCTTCAAATGAGAGGAAGGCAAAATTGACTAGTGAGCAACACTTTGGCAAGTTCCCATATCGAGATTCTTTGTATTGTAATGCTTCAATAAACGAGCAGTACTCGTTGCTTACTTATTGATTTTCGAAAATCAGGCGTAACGAGTTTATCGAAGGCTTCAAAAACGTTCCAGTGGATATTTATTCTTCTTTGAATAGTAATCCTCATCAATAGGTTTTGGATTAATTCAAAGCCCAAAAGGCTGGAACTAAAACTAAGCTGTGTTGTAAGAACCTTTAGTGAACAAATAGAGCATCCGGCCAGTGTACGCATGGTCATGGTTATATTCCCCTCCGTGGTACTCAGAATTTTTTTTTCTTTCAAGTTTTCTCTCGATACGTATCCTATCTTTTTCTTTTTTTTTTTCGGAGGTTTATCATTTACCTGCTACGATAAGAAAGTCCTCCGTCTTTTTCAGTTCCTTTATATGCAGTTTCATATTCTCTTTCACATGATCCGAATGCTTTTGAAGTAAAGTTATCATCCGTTCATCCATTCTACCCAAAAAAGCTTCGGCTTTGGTGTAAAAATCAAGTAAGAGCCGTCTTTTCCTGGCATCTTCTTCTTTAGCTTCGGATAAAACGGAGAAGGCCTAAAAAAGTAAAGCTGTATGTTACAAGGTTTTAATAGTTAATTGACGAGGTTTGTACTAGCACATGCATGGCTGATTCTAGTCTTACGAAAGCGAAGAATGCTCAATCGGATTTTGTATTTGAGTGGCTGGCTTTCAAACTCTAGCGACCACGTGACAAAACCATACATGCATACATGCATACATGCATACATACATACGTACATACATACATACATACATACATACATACATGTTTTTAAACGGTATATCGACTATTTCCAAATAACTAAATTACAAACAACAAAAATTCCTAACCATATATGGCCAATAAGTTATTAATTAAATAAGTTTTTGAGGATTTAGATACACTGACGCCTTGCCATTGTCAGCCTCAACGACCCTTAACTGATGTACGATTCAGTGCCAAGGTCCCTCGACGAAGGAGGCACTTGTTTTTTCTTTTTTTGTGTTAGATTAGATAAGGGAAACATATGGAACGGGGTTTTCCTATGAAAAAGTACATTTTATCACGAAATATCGCTCTTTTTTGAAAGACAGTGAACCCCGGTCAAACTCAGTCGTTACGGCTATGAAATTTTACTGATTAACATCGTACCTCTCTTGATGACCAGCCATTGAGCGTCTTTTCTGCCAGTTGAACCTCTTTTCTTATTCGCTCCTTCGCCTCGCCTAGGGTCTTCACCCCTTCGCCCGTTACGCCAAGAACGTCCATCAATTTTGCTGTTTCCCAAAGATTCATTTCATCGATTCCTTTACTGGCTCTATATTTGTGGCTGGTTGTGCTTTGCGGACTGGTTCTGGCGCTTTGACTAGTGCTAGCGCTACCACAGTGTTTTAAGCACCCAACAGTTTCACTATAAACCTACGGTATAAAAAGAATACAAATAACTTTGTAACAGTTGCAATTCAAACTTAAATACATTGCTAACTCAGTCTATAATCTTTAATCTTTGTAAGTCTTGTTCAGTACCGGAAATTAATATAGAGCAAGTTTAATGGGAAAAATCTACTGCTCTTAAAGTAGAAAACAAAAAAATTGTCATTTTTATATCGTCTTCTTTTTACAAATCTACTTTTTAAGTTCAGGTCCAGTTGTTCGAAGGCCGATTAGCGCTTAACCCGGGGTTAAATTTAACCCGGGTTTCGTTTTCTTACGTTCAAAAGCATTTTCTCGGATAATTTTCTCCCTTATTTTTAGAGCTTCCAAAAATCAACTTGTAGACAAAAAGAATTAAAACTGAAATGCTTTTTAAGCTTTCAAATCTGAATTCAAATCTCGCACTAACCCGGGGTTATCTTAACCCAGTGTTGAACAACTCGGCCCAGATACTGATCTTTGTTAATTGACAGAACAACTATCAGGAAACTGAGTCATGACAAAACTACATCTGCAAACTACTGTAAATAATTATGCACGCAATACCCCCAGTTCGCTCTTGGTCCATATTCCACTGGGACCCTCGTAAGATACCTGAAATCTAATCTTAACACTATGTTATAAACACTCTTCTTGCCATGGCAAAAGTATTTGTCGATCGGATTTCAAAACGTGTGGACGAAGTCGTCCGGTGTACCCATTCAAATCAAGGCATGGGCAGAATGTTTGCACAGTACTATTTATTGCGTTCGAGGTACGAGAACGCAACCCCTAATTTGTGTTGGTAGTTCTGTGCCTTATTGGGTGTCCTGTGCAATTAATAAAGGAGGTTATTTTGAGATTGCATTTTCGTCGTCGTCGACACACATTTGCCCCACTTTGAAGTGCTTGCTTACGTTTTGTCTCACTTTGACGCGCTAACTCACGTGGCGTTTCGTGTGTCCTCGGCGTTCATCTTTCAAAGGTTTGCTGAAGTCTGATTTTCTGTCTTCGTAAAGCATTCATCTTTTAAAAAGTTTGCTGAATTAATCTTCGTAAAGCGTACCTCGATCTGTGTTTGCTGAATCTTCCAAAGCGTTCATCTTTCAGAAGTTTGCTGATAAATTTTACTTTGGATTAAGCCTTCGCATTTTTCAGCATGGTTCGTCACTGTCTTTGGAAAATGTGTGCGATTCCTGGTGCATGCATCAAACCGGGTTTAGTTCGGCTACCTTTGTGTCACAAAGTAAATCTACTGAGTTGTGTAGCTCGGCAGCCGTTGGCAGGCCACACATTAAATTTACCGAGTTGTGTAGCTCGGCAGTCGTTGTGCCACAAAGTAAATCTACTGAGATTTGAAGCTCGGCGGCGCAATTTGATCATGACTTGTGATATTTTCGGCACCAGACAAACGAACACTTTAACTCTATGTTATTTATTAGGAAAAACTTACAAACCAGCCCACAGTAGCGCCACTCTCGAGTCACTGAAATCTTCGTTTTTAGGTCTTAGGTCTTAGGTCTTCGTTTTCTACCCACCCCCAGCTCGTTAGTTTTCTTTGCAGAATGTTTAAAAATTATCACGGATACTGACTTACAGATCCAAATGCATCAACTATGGAGAACTACATTGTGACTCGGTAAACTCCAGCTTAGTGTTTTTCTTAAGACAGTGTGAGTCTTTTGACTGAAGCGCGTAGTTCCTCCCTTGGTAATAGCTTTTGAATAAGCTTAACAGTCTTTGGACAGTTTCGTTATTGCTACTTTGTGACCAAATCGCGTGCTACGTGCCAAACAAAAAGACGATGTCAATCAGACCTGTCAACAGTCAGTTTTGTCGCCAATAGGAGCTTGCACTAGGATCTGATGCACAGCGGTCCCAAATGTTTGTCTCGGCAGACCTTTTCGCTTCTCCCTCTCCCCAGTTCCCCGCTCCACCAAAGGCCTGTTCACATGCTAGCGATTCAGAAGTTGTGACATATTAGGTTCCAGGCTGCTTGTATTTTGCACTTGCGCAGTACATTAAAAATGAAGGACTAGCACATGGTTCGTTTTCATGCTGTAGTTTCATGACTTAAATATTACATTTGGCGACGAGGGTGGCGTTCGTGGGGCAAGTTTGAGAACATATCGACGGGAAAGAAGATATTGCCAGTTATGTTGAACGAGTAAAATTGTATTTTGCGGCGAATTACGTCGAAGCGGATTACGAGGTTGCTACGTTTCTAGCGTTAACTGGGGCAGATGCATATGGCGTGCTGAGGAATTTGTTAGCCCCTGAACTTCCGAAAGACAAGCCTCTTAATGAGTTGAAAGAGCTTTAGGTTTCACATTACTCGCCTAAACCTATTTTAATCGCAGAACGTTTTAAATTTAATCGTCGGAACCAGCATGAGAGTGAAACGTTCGCACAGTTTGTAGTTGAGTTGAAGCGACTGGCGTTTAAGTGTGAATTTGGAACGTTTTCGGAAGAAGCGTTACGGGACCGTCTCGTTTGTGGATTGAAAAGCGTGCAAATTCAGAAGAAGCTGTTGGCAGAGAGAGACTTGATTTTAAGAAAGCGTTTGAAACAGCACAATCCATGGAGTTAGCCAGTGGACGATTCCGTCAATAAGGTCGGCAGATATGCCAGTTCAGGGCATTCGACTGGAAACCCCGTGAGTTATTTTGGTTGTGGTGGAAAACATTCTCCATAAGGGTGCTGGGCCAGGTTGGTACAACCTTACAAGTGTCACAAAAAGGGTCACCTTGCTAAGATGTGCGATAAGAAAGGGAAGATACAATCCAAGCGTTATTTGGAGGTTGATTAACCTATGATGGATGGGATGGATGGGATGGATGGGATGGATGGGATGGATGGGACGGACGGACGGACGGACGGATGGATGCACTGTTTTGAACCTTTTGAACCTTATTCCGTAAGGTTATCCCACAGTTTCCCCAAACAATGTTGCAATAATCAAAGTGTGGCTGTATTAAAGCTTGATATATTAGTTGTAAGGTCGCCTGAGGGACAAGGTGCCTTATTCGTTTTATGGCCCCAATACCAGAAGCGACTTTCTTTGTTACTTTCTCGATATGGCCACTCCAATCAAGTCTGTCATCGATGGTCACTCCAAGTGATTTTGCAGTAGTGACCTGGCTAACTTCAAAATCATTAATTGCAAATGTCGGGGACTCTGTGAGAGTACTTAGCCTCTGCCTAGATCCGATAAGCATAAATTCGGTTTTAGTCATATTTAGAGTAAGTTTGTTTGCTCTCACCCAATTGTGAACATTTTCTAAATCTTGATTTAGATGCAACTGAATATTGTCTGCATTATCACCTGCGTACGTAAGGTGGGTGTCATCAGCGTACATCCTCGGCTCACAATTTGAAAGACAGTTCGGAAGATCGTTGATGTATAACAGAAATAATAATGGACCTAAAATCGTCCCCTGGGGAACACCACAATTTAATAAACAGCTTTGAGAGAGCGATCCGTTGATGGAGCACATTTGAGGACGATTCTCTAAATACGACTTAAACCATTGGTGCGCGTTACCATATATGCCGTAATTGCTAAATTTTGATAAAAGGATGTCATGGTCAACTGTGTCGAAGGCCTTTTTGAGATCTAAGAAAACAACGGCGTTGATTTTACCGCGGTCAATATTGTACGCCCAAGTGTCCGTGGCCTCAAGGAGAGCCGTGACAGTTGAGTGTATAGCGCGAAAGCCTGATTGATATTTACAGATTATATTGTGCTCTTCTAGGTAGGCATATAATTGATCATAGACGATTCTTTCAAAGACCTTGGCCATAACTGAGATCACCGAAATTGGACGATAATTGTTTAAGTCGTCCCGATCGCCTTGTTTAAAAAGTGGGGTGACCTTTGCGCATTTCCAGTCATCCGGAAATATGCCTTGACTTATTGACTGGTTAAAAATATCACGGATAGGAATGCAAATGAGATCTGCACATTCCCGAATGAGCCTAGCAGATATCTTGTCAAGGCCAGCTGCCTTTGACTTATTTAGACGATTCAAAAGTGAGAGAACTTTGGATGACATCCTGATTTCAGGGGGTTCCCCTGAGGAACATTTGGCAATCCTGGAGGAAGTTTTCAGGCGCTTACAAGAACATGGCATCAGGTTGAATCCAGCGAAGTGCATTTTCTTTCAGTCGGGCCTCGAGTTTCTTGGACACTGGATTGACAAGAATAGCATTCGTGCTCTCCCTCAGAAGATGGATGCGGTCATGCAAGCCAAGAGTCATACCAATGTCACAGAGTTGAAGTCGTATCTGGGACTGCTTAACTATTATGGCACGTTCCTGCCCAATCTGGTGACTACACTGCATCCTCTTCATGACCTTTAGCAAAAGGATAGACCTTGGAAGTGGACGGAAGCGTGCGAGAGCGTTTGTTAAGAGTAAGAAGCAGTTACCAGATTCTCCTTTGCTGGTCCATTATGATCTGAAGAAGTCACTTCGGCTGACCTGTGATGCATCACCCTATGGGTTAGGAGCGGTTATTTCCCATGTTATGGAGAACGGCGAGGAAAAGCCTATTGCTTTTGCATCTCGAACTCTCACAGCTCGTGAGCGTAACTATTCCCAAATAGAGAAAGAGGCCTTATCCATCGTGTTTGGAGTGAAAAAGTTCCATTCGTAACTGTATGGTCGGACGTTTACATTGCTTACAGATCATCAGCCGCTGGTCAAAATTCTTGGGCCGAAGACTGGTGTACCTCCGCTGGCCGCAGCAAGAATGCAAAGGTGGTCTTTGATTTTAGCAGCTTATCAGTATGAAATTGAGTATAGGAAGTCTGCTGAACATGTAAATGCAGATGCTTTGTCAAGACTGGTACAGGCATCTTTAGAAGAGCAAGAGGAGGAGGAAGATAGTAATTACGCACGGAACTTCCCAAGTTCCCAAGCCGAAGTGAAGAGTGGAGCGTGGAGTCCTTCTGAACTACTGGTTAATACATCCGAGGCAGGAGGAGTCCCGGATGCAGGTGACCTGGAGGAAAAGGACACAACTGAGGTGACACCAGAATCATCATTGGGAGACACTTTGGAGAGAGCAAGTCCCTCAGCGACACCATAGTCACCGCACCCAGCACTGAGGTACCCAAGTCGGGAGAGGAGACCACCACGAAGACACATGTGAAATGTGAACATTGTTTTAGTAGATGACGAACGCTGAACATTGTACATCTGTTAGACGTGCATTTTCTTGTTGCTGTTGTTATGCTAACCAACCCATTTATTCGGGAGGAGTGTAATATATTAGGTTCCAGGCTCCCTGTATTTTGCACTTGCGCAGTACACTAAAAATGGAGGACTAGCACATGGTTCGTTTTCATGCTGTAGTTTCATGACTTAAATATTACAGAAGTTCTCACTCTCAATAAAAAGGCTGGGTATACAAAGGTGTGACACACACCCATGCTGTATTTTCTGGACAGGATATAGCCTTGACAGCATCAAAAGTAGACAAGTGTGGTATGAAAATGATTCCCGGTAAATGGCTTTTA